AGAGAGGGAGAGAGAGAGAGAGAGAGAGAGAGAGAGGGAGAGAGAGGGAGAGAGAGCCGCTCCGATGTTTCTCCGCACGCGAACATCGCGCGCGTCTTTGACGGAGCGCGAATCGCCGTTCCTTCGAGGGCGCGAGGGAATTGACGATATGCGCCCGGATCCGGCAATTTGGCGTAGCGAATCATACGACGCGAAATAGCTGGACTATAACGCGTCGTTGATGCTTAACGAGAGCGCAGCGAAAATGCAGCGGCCGCGGCGTACCGCAATTTCGGTGTGGCTCGAAGAATTACGAGCGCGCGCGAGGATCGTCTCGTTTCGCGATAGGGACTCGTTTTCGCGGCACCCGCCGCGTATGCGCGAGCGAGGGAACGCGTTATCATTATTCTATGCATTATTTATGTCATTCCCCGTGCCGAGTACAATGTGGGTCTACGAATCAAAATGCATTGCTTATGCAAATAGCGGTCGTGCCCCGCAGTCTCGGGGTGAATTCGCAGTCTGCTACGGGGAATAATCATAATGATCAATAAGATACAACCGCTCGTACGTCCGTTTTCTCTCCTCCATTCCCCTTCCTCTCCCTCCCCCCTCTGTCCCCCTTTCTCTCTCTCTCTTCTCTCTCTCTCTCTCGCTCGCTCGCTCGCTGCTTCTCGGTCTTTCTCCGTCGGTTCTTCGCGCGTTCTCACTCCGCGCGCCTCATGCAAATCCTGAGACGGTATTGTCTGGCGATATTAAGGGAATTGTTATCGCATTGCATAATTCGGGGATTCGATCGCGGCCGGGTTTGCGCGCGCCGAGCTCGCCCGTCACGGCAATCAATTGCTCGCCATCGAGCCCCGTATCGTGTTAGCCCAATTCACCGCGATAAACGGAAAAATGCTCGACATTCCTCGTCATCGTCGTCGTCGTCGTCGTTGTTTCGTTGTCGTTGATTATTCAGCGCTGCCGATATCGAGTCGTTGGGAAATTCACGATGCTCGTGAGACGTCTCGCTGCACGAAAGTCGAGGTTTTAGATTCCTTTCACCGCGCTCGACGGCGTTTCGACGATATTTCGCGACCAGTAGCCCTCTACGGAATAACGGAAGGTGGTAGAGAGAGGTTCGCTTATAGGGCGAGCGCGGTCGGTTCTGGTCGCCGGGTGGTTTTGGAATCCGCGCCACGAGTCGGTGGTTTTGCGGTGCGGCGAAAACCGCCGACCCTCGAAGCTCTTCTCTCGGCCGTTCTCCCTGTTTGCGTCGTCCTTCCGCGTAATCCTCCATGGCTTAGCGAGAGTTTCTCACGAGAGAGCGAGAGCGAGGAGAGCCTCTAAGTAAAGTGGACGAGTACAGCGCGCGGCCACCGACTCTCGAGACTCTCACCGTCTCTTTGATTAGCGCGGAATATCGGGCGCCCCGAGTGATACAACTCTCGCGGGCAACGGCCTCTCCTCGAACGTTAAGTCGCGGTGGATTCGATCGAACAAATTCCCCCGCTCTGTGCTTTTCCACCGGTTCCGTCACAAACGAGTCGGACGACGAGATAAATATCGCCGAGAGATAAGTTGTGACTAAAAAAATCGCTGGATAGGCGCGCGAGTGAATTTCCTCAGGCCGACGTACTTCGCTCTCGAGCGCGCGCGCGCGCGCGGCGCCGCCGCCGGATGGAAAATATGAGCGACTGAATTCTCTCTCGCGAGCGGCGATAACGAGGCTTCGAAGGACGCGCGGCGTCGTTACTTCCGCGCTGCGGCACGCCGCCATAATGCGGGGCTCTGCAACAACGGCCGCCGCCGCTTAGCGGCGCGCTAGTGCCTCGAGATGAGCAAATGTTCTTGGCACTTGAGCGCGCGCGTGCCTCGTGTTTGGTTACGGACTCGATCACAAGCGGGGGACACCGTAGAGAGCAGTTAACCTGTCCGATAATACGCGCCGATAATCAGGCATCTAGTGGACGACGGCGGGGATCGATGGAGCTAACGTAATTAGACGCGGCGATACGCGCCACTTAAGCGCACTTGAGTGGCTGGAAACGCAACCGATTGGTCCTGTTGCCGCCGTTAGTCGGACGTAAACGTGCCGCGCGCGCGCGCGCGCGTCCGTCATCGTCCCTCCCGTTTCTCCCTCCCTCTCTCGCTCGCGTTCTCTCTCGCGCTCTGTCGAAGACAGTGTTGACCGTAAACGACCACGTCGTCGCCGTCGGCTTTAACAAACGCGTCCGTCGTTCGAGGGGAGGACGTGAAGCTGCAGGAAGAGAGGGAGGAGGGAGGGAGGGGGGGGGGCGCTGCCGCCGCCACACGCTCCATTGAGTCGTCGGCAGTAATGTACCGCCGCGCGATGCGGTTAATCCGCTATCTCGTGCGACGTATTAAATGTCGCCCGAGACTCGAAAACCAATAAAAGCGCGATCGTAGCGCGCGATCGTTGCGCTTTAATGCCAATTCTTGTTCATCGTTATCCGGCCGTCCGGCTATCGCTTTCACGGTGGTTGTGTCGGCGATAACGCGCTATTTGAATACCGCCGATGCACGAGCGAGCGAGCGAGCGAGCGAGCGAGCGCGCTATTCCGATGGCTCTCGATCGCGCGGAATAAAAAGCGCGGCGGGAAAGAGGGAGCGCGCGCGCGGAATGATGCGGGAGAGGAGGCTATCGGATAATTAAATCGGCCGCGGCACGTAAAGGACACTGATTGACATGCGCGACGGCTACGTTCTCTCATTATTATTCGTCGAAACGACATAATTCGCGCTTCGCTTTTCGACGGACGCTAAACCGCATCGCCATCAGTCGCCTCGCCTCGCCTCGCCTCGACTTCCTCGCTTGTCGCGTCGTCGTTACGCGCGGAAACCCATCATCGCTCCGCTTGTCCTCTCGCCGTGCAGTCACGCGCACGTGAAATGTGCGCGACGAGTATTTCGGATCCGAGGGAGAAGTAGAATCGATGAGGAGGGATATTCTGCCGGTCTCGTTATTGCCGCGCGAGTCGCACTTGACGACATTTTCGCTGTTTGCAGTATTGTCGGTTCGCAATATTGTTGCTTCGTCGCGTCAGCTATGGTAATTGGCTGCGTTGTTAGGTGTATCAGTACGTCGTCCATGTCGATGGATGGTAATTTGTGGGAGTCATGGACGTAATTACTCGGACATAAAAATATATCTCGTTGGTGTTGTCGCGAGTCGGTGTTCTTTGGCGGGTTCTAAAGTCGACTCGTATCGACCTGCTGACGAAAGTTGTGTACCGGGAAATGTCAAGCGCATCGGTAGTGGTAGTTGGTAGTAGTAGTAGTAGTAGTAGTAGTGGTGGTGGTGGTGGTGGTGGTGGTAACGGTTGCATCCTCGTCGTCGTCATCGTCGTCGTCGTCTGACGTCCGTTGCTTCGCTGTTCCGCGGCGAAAGCCAATAAATTAATTGGATTGGCCGTCGTGACTTGTCGCATACAAATCGGATCAGTGATTCCGCTGCGATCAGCTGTTCGTTCGTTCACGTTAACTTTGCTCGTCCGTCCACTGTTAACGCGCCGGCCGGCAGAGGGGTGTGGCTTTGCTCGTGTTACGTTCGTTTAAACGTAAAGAAAGTCGCTTGCGAAGGACAGGTCTCTCTCTCTCTCTCTCTCTCTCTCTCTCGCCCTCGTCTGTTTCTGTCTCCCTGTGTGAACAAATGTGTGTGTGTGTACATGCGCATCCGCGAGCAAACAAGCGAGACGCGCGATGTAGTCTCTTCTACGGCTTCGTCGATCCGAGCCTCGAGTCGTTTAAAGATATTGCACGTCCGGCGCGCAAATCCGCCCCGTAATTCGAACGTACACGTGCGATAACATGTCAGGAAGTCCGACTCCGAAGCCGGGGAGGATTAATAAAACACGTTGCGGTGAGCACGCGGTAGCTACAAGGTTTTCCGTGCGGCTTTACCGCACGGTTAAAATGTATCGTTTCACGCGCTCTCTCCCTCCCTCCCCCCTCCCTCTCTTTCTCTCTTTACCCTCGGAGCATCAGCCGTTTCTCGATGAAAGCGCAGAGATGAGGCGCAAAGCACCTCATCTCCTTGAAGAGAAATTCACGGGGGTGAGTTTTGCCGACGAAACATGGTCGGGGCGCGCGCGCGCGCGCTTTTGCGTGTCGTCGAGTCGTCAGACCGCGCGCGTCGTCGTTCGATCGCTGTCACGTAGGCGAGTCATTAGCGCGATAATATCCTCCCAAGTTGATTCTTACTTTATGAGTTCTGGCACGATTTTCATTATACGCGACCGTCCCGGCGAATCGTTAGCGAGTTCCCGCACGAAACACCGCGATTCCGGCATTCCTCGGCCGTCATGGAATCTAGATCGTGCGACGCGACGGAACGATCGAGTGCTGGCGTGAAAGAGACGAGGAGACGAGGGGGTGAAACAGGAGGAGAAAGAGCAGGAGCAAGAGAGAGAGAGAGAGGGAGAGAGAGAGAGAGAGAGCTATTCCGGCTTTTACGAGGCCATAGTGGCGTATCCGTTTTGCGGGGCACGACGTGCAAAACGATCGATAACACGCTCGTAACGTTATTACCAACAGGTATACGGAGGTGGGTAGCACCGGTACTACCGGTAATAATGTGGCTTTTACGCTCGTGGGCGCTGATACAGCAGCCGCCAAAGTCAGCCGACGTGTACGCTACCGCACTCTCGAGCGACGGTGTTCGCTCTCCTTTCTTCCCCCTCCCCTCCTCCTCCCGTCCCACTCCTTTTCCTCCCGACATCATCCTGCATATCGATTCCCGCGAGTCGAACGAACGAGACGGAGCTTTTCCTCGCTCGCGAGCGAGCGAGCGAGCGAGCGAACGAACGACGAGAGGGAATACGCGTCTCTAACATTTTCTTTTCTTTTTTTACGCGACGATACCGCGATACGTATTTTCGAGATACGGCGAGACGGCGTCTCCGTCTCGAGAAGAGCGCCTTATGCATGACGTGCCCTTTCACCGCTCTTGTGTGTGTAATTTTGAAACACGATGGCCCGTCGTTGCATTAATGGCTTCTTTGTATTGTTCGCAGGGTCCACCGCAGCCTGGGCAGGGCTTCAAATTTTCGATCAACGACTCCTGCGATCGCATCAAGGAGGAATTCAACTTTCTGCAGGCTCAGTACCACAGGTATCCTTGTCTTGTTTCTCTTGTCCGCGTTTCTATCCGCGAACCCCGTGTTGATGAATCGCGGCCAATCGAAGACGTATGCGGTGCCTCCCGAGTTTCCGGAGTGACATCGCGACGACCGGGTTTCGTCTCGCCTCGTTTCGCCTTCGCTTTCGTCTACGACGAGAGCGGCTATCAGCGAAAACTCAGAGATCCGTCCAATTAGCGCCGCGCACAAGCATACGTCTCGCGATTGCTCGCGGTCGTCCTATAAATTTTCACGAGAGAAACTCTCATCGAAAAGTCCCGCGCGGCCCCTGAAAATAGCGAAAAATCACGCGACTCGAGCGAGCGTCTGTATCGGCGCGGACCTCATAAGCACCTTCGACCTTCGAGAAAATCACCCACCCGCCTTCGGCTTCTCTTCCCCTCCGCGCACCCGACGAAAATATTCTCCCGCGCGCGGTTACCCGCGAGCGCGATATAAACTCCGTCGCTCTCTCGGTTATTAGTTTGTCGAACGGAGTAAACGTTCGCGCCCGTCGACAGGGCCGTATCTATTAGGCGCTCGTGCAAATATCGCGTGGGCGAGCGCGCGCGAAACGCACGGACGTACAGACGTATGGACGGACGGACGGACGGACGTACGGACGTAGGCAGATAATTGTTTGTCTGACCGGAAGCTGTGTACACCGAAGTATGCATACGGCGAAGGAGCGAAGACCCCGTTTGGAGAACGCGCGCGCGCGTGCGGGTGTTTGCAGCGTGAACGTTTTCTCCGAGATACACACACACGTACACGCGCGCGCACGCGCGTGTGTCGCTCTTCATAACCCGATAATTTCGGTGTAAAAGTGTGCGGTCAACGTCGCGAGCTTATTCGATCGTTGAATTCACGAGCGGCCGAGCGGGTTTCACTGGGAAATGAACCGCGCGTCTCTCTTCCACCGCTTTCCCACCTCTCCCCTCCCCCACCTCCCGCCCGCCCTTTTTCCCCGTCAGCGCTGATTATGTAAAACACACGAGGAAATGAGAGAATAATTGAAAGGGCGATGTACGGTGGGTCCACTACGTGGTATGTGTTTGTGCGAGCGAGTAAATTGAATGGCGCGGGCGCGTTTGGAAACATTTTGACGAAAACGAGTATTCATAAATATCGTTGCTCGTTAATCGGCAGATTAATCGTGGAATGGCAAAAATACACGCGAGAGGCTCGCGGTGAAACGGTGAGAGAGCTACATCGTCCGAGCGCGCGCGCGTACATTATGGCAGTAGTCGCGCGCGCGGTTTTAAGCGCGCAACGTGATTCCCAATAAATCGTCCCGTAAATCGTTGCGTCGCGTCAATCCGAAATAATTAATCGACTCTACGCGCTCGTTCGCTCGCTCGCTCGCTCGCTCGCTCGCTCGTTCGTCCGTCCTCGCGCGCGCGCGTGCACACACGCGCGCACGCGAGTATCGCCACTTGCGTAACGAAAGTTACCGCTGGCGCGCGTTCGCGATCGTTAATACCGTGCTAATTTATCGCCTTAGAGGTGAGATTGCGCCGCGCCGTATATAGCGCGCTCCTCGATTCGCCTTTCACGAATATTAAACGCGCCGCCGCGTCGGGGAATTAGCGCGCGCGCGCGCTCGCACGCACGCTCTCCACCCTTTTTCTTCTCCCGCGCGAATCGAATTAAACGGCGCCGTGTATCGGCCGCAGAAAAAGGAGAGACGGCAGGGAATTCCTTCCGCCGTGGAAGGAACTGTAACGTTATTATTATTGCGCGCCTCCTCCTCTCCTCCTCTTCCTACCTCTCCGCTCTCTCCTAGCACCTTTCCCATGAACCCCACCTCCCCGCCTCCCCCGCCCACCCCCGGGGCTCTGACTCAATAGCGGGTGATCCGTAAAAACCGTCTTTACTTCGTTCGTTATCGCTAGTTGAACCTTTTTACGGGTTACCGTAGCGGTACGCTGGAGCGGCTAGCCGCTTTATTTTCTCGCTCCCTCTGCCTCGTTCGCGATATAACGGTATTACTACCGGGGCTCCGGCGCGCGTTTTTAACCCTCTCTCCTTCCTTCCCCGCCCCTCCCCCCCCCCTCCATCCCGACATCGCGACCAGACGGTAGGACGAGCGGAGAGACAATGGCTCCGCGATTTCGAGGGCTGGTGGATATTAATGCTCTGTTCTTGTTCTTCTTGTACAGCCTTAAATTGGAGTGCGAGAAACTGGCCAGTGAAAAAATAGAGATACAGAGGCATTACGTGATGGTAAGCCGGGGGAGAAAGATGAGAACGTAGAAAGGGCCAGCGCGTTACACAGACATACACACACACACACACACACACACACACACACACACGCACACAAACGCATATGGTCATACACGGGATACATGAATCATCCCGCCATTGTTCCCAGATTAAAATGCATTCGTTCTCGTCGCGGGCGCGCGGATACGTGAGATATCGCTCGGCCGACGGTCGAGCTGTTTTAATTTTCGCGAAATTGCTAGGAATTACGATCCAGACGTAAGAGAAAAATACAAGGAGAGAGTGAGAGTGAGAGAGAGAGAGGGGGGAGAGAGAGAGAGAGAGAGAGAAAGAGAGAGAGAGAAAATCAGGATTGAGGGCCGGCGGAGGAGAGGGGCGAGGGCAAGAGGGGAAGAGAAATTATTCAAACACCGCGAACGCGATCACGTCGAGATCAATTTTCCGAATCGCGCGCGGCTGCGCTCGCGAAATTAAAAGGAAAATGGTCCGCGGACCGGGCGGGCGCGAATCTCCAAAGTGCGCGCGCGAGTGTGTGCTGTCAGGCGTAATTCCGTGGTCGCGCGCGTCGGATGAGGGAGCAAGAGAGAGAAAAATAGCGGAGAATGAGGGAGAACGAAGGGGAATGGGCGTTGAGGAAAAAAACCTCGGGGAAAATTATCATCGCCTCGCCGACCGAGCATCGCAGTGAGAGCGCGCGCGACTCGGCCGCTTGGTCGCGCCGAAAATACTGGGAACACAGTAGAAACACGAATCTCATGTACACACACATGCGCACACACAGAGAAGCAGGGGGGAAGTGGGAGGGGGGAGACGCATCCACATTCTCGTTATCGTAGGTATACAGTCGCGGAACGACGCGACGCGCTCGAGCGTTACAGGCATACGAACGCATTCATTTGCCGGCGTACAAGCGGTTTTGTCGGCCGCGCGAGATTATTTTGCCGCCGTCGCCGCCGCCGCCGCTGCCGGGGCGAACGCGCTAAACAAAAATACGACGCGGCTTGTCGTCGTTAAAAAAGTTATCGCCCCCGTGGACACCCGTCTTTGTCCCAGACTGATGTCGGGCGGTCGGGTAACATGCTCGGTAACATGCAAGTGAATATTAATACGCGCTTTAACGCGCCTGGGGGGCGGAAGAGAGGGGGGGAAGCGCGCGTGACGCGACGAGGATTAACTCTTAATGAAGCTACGCGCTGGTCGCCGTTCGTTCTCTCGTATTGATTTCGTGTTAACTTTCTTCCCATAGAAATGAGAGAAAAAGAACTGGAAACAGAGAGAGAGAGAGAGAGAGAGGGGGGGGGGGAGGGAGAGAGAGAGAGAGAGAGAAAATGACTCGAATGTTCGACGCGCGCGCTCTCTCGCCAAGTTTGCCTGACGGTGCACGCGATCGCACGCGCGTCCTATCGCGGGGACGGGAGGAGGAGGGGGGAGGGAATGATTAATCGGCGAGTTCGATGAGAGAGGGGAATAGTCTCGTTGTGTAACATTGGTGACACGAGTAACGCGCTCGCGACGGTTTGCATTTAAATATACAACGACCCCTCGTCGATTCGGCGAACGCGTTTTTATGAATTATTTGCTCGGCCGCGGCGCTTCCAATATTCTCTACAGTCCACTTTGCTAGACGCCAAATTCATATGCGTATACGCGCATACACGAACACACACGCGCGTACAAATTTATACGTAACACACACACACACACACACACACACACACACACACATACTGGCCAGTATATAACAATTATTATCGATGTTTGTTGCGGCTGCACTAATTGTGTGTTTTTAATGGCTTGGCTGTGCACCACCCCTCCGCAATATCCTCGATATGGGGGCGTGATGGGAAGAACGAATCAGGCTCGGTCGATTAAAAAGGCACGTGCGAAAAACCCCAGGACAGGGCGGGGGCGCGCGAGGATTAACGAATCGCCGCGTAATCGGCCGCTGATGAAACGAACGATTCGCGCCTCGACACGATCGCGCGCTCCACGTTCTCGCCCGAAACCCGCGACTCTCGCGACTCGCTGATTACTCGGTAATCTCGTTACGTTCTCTATTAGCCGATGACGACGGCGACGACGACGACGACGATAACGATAACGGCGACTCCCCTGACCCGATAGACGAGCCAGTCTCCCTTTCAGATTCTTTTCTCTTGTATTTCTCTTTTTCTCTTGTTTTCCGCTTCCCTATTCCCCCCCCTCCCCCCGCCCCGCCCCGCCCCCACAGCTTTTGAATGTCGCCTGCACTTACTAATGTTTAGCTTACACGTGCGATTTCCTGCTTGTTCTGTACAGTATTAAGTTGGAGCTGGAGAAACTCGCCCAGGAGAAGACGGAGATGCAGCGCCACTACGTCATGGTGAGTCCAAGCTTACAAGAATCTCATGGCGGCTAAGTCGCTCTCGCTCGCGATATCGGGCGGTAATCGGGCCGGTGGATTTGGCGGACCCGCGCGCGCGCGCGTCTATTTTCGCGCTCGCCTCGCGTCTTGCGGCCGAGAGTGGTCCGCGATGGACGTCTCCGCGGAGCGGAGGATCTAGATCGGCCGCTTCAATCTGTGCCGCGACCCGCGACGCTGTATATGCCTATAACGACGACTGCGGTTTCTCAACAACGCGTCGATCGCTCGATTTCCTTGCGCGCGAGCTCCTTCGCCCCTGGCGGCGATTCTCGCTCGGTAATTTGTAATTATCCCGCTAATGGCAAACGGTGTCATTTGTACTCGCGCGCTCGCTATCTCTCAATCGTTATCGTGCGATTATAATTGCACGGTTCTTGTTATTGGTTCCTCTCCGCTTCGTTAGGCCTGACGAAGGAGCCAGCCGCGCGTTTGGAAATCGGTTTGAACGGTGCCCGCGATAAACGATAAACGAAGGTACTCGCCTCTCGATTCGTCAGATTGTGGATAGGTGGTCGACGTAATAATTTGCGGCTCGGCGAAGGGGAAGGGGAAGGGGCCACGTCGTTTGTTCGCGGAAGGAGGACGCTCTCGCGCCCTCTCTTCCCTCGGCGTTCTTCTTGTTTTTCGACTTGGTCCCGCGAGGATTTACGCAGACGCCGCGAGCCGCGGCTTACTTTCGCCCGTAGATCTTCATTATCGCGATACACCGCCGGCCGTGTATGCGTCTTCATTAAGCGGCGCGAGGAGCCGCGCGCACTGCTTTCTTCACGGGAGGTCGAAGGTCGCCGAGGGTGCCGCTTTTAATCTCGCGCGCTCTCGACGAGTTTTACCACGCACGGCGCTCGGCCGCGTCTCCTTCGCGCGGCGTAACCTCTCGGAAAGACCAAAGTGCGCCTTTTATCCGCGCGTTTTTCCGCGCCTCATGTCGCGATCTCTCTGTCGACTTGTTTCTCTTTTTTAATTACACCCAGCGGAGTAGAAGAGGCACGGGCCTTGATCTTTCCCCGGTAAAGAGGGAAGAGAGAGAGAGAGAGAGCGCAGTTGAATTTATCACACGAAGATGCGTTCGCGCTGCTTCAAGCCGCGCGCGACAATGGTCCTCCCTTTTGTTTTTCCACTTATTTCTTTTTTCTTATCTCTCATTGAGATGCCACGCGCTGCCGCGAGCTCTCGCGGCCAGAGTTCGTTAGCCAAGACTCGCGCACGCGAAGCGTGCATTATAAGCGCGCGCGATAATTTATAGGCCGTAGTCGCGCGCTACGTCGCTCGGTCGGTCGGTCGGTCGGTCGGTCGATGCAAATAACTTCATATAAAATGCGCAGCGCTCGCTCTCGCGTGGACGTGGCACTTCCGCCGATTCACGCGGCGCGAAGATTAATCGTACGATCATCTCACGTACGGCCACGTCGTACGTACATGCGAGAGAGAAAGAGAGAAAGAGAGAGAGAAAGAGAGAGAGAGAGAGAGAGAGAGAGCGAGAGAGGGGGGGAAGAGAAAATCGCTCGCACGTTGTTCAGGTATGCCGCTCCCACCCCCCCATCACTCTCTCTCTCTCTCTCTCTCTCTCTCTCTCTCTCTGCCGTGCGAGCGAGCGATCGATCTTCGCGCGCGCGCTCGCGCGAGTTCCGCGCATCGATCCTTTATTCCGCGGCCGCGCGCACCAGCACTCGGTCCTGTGACAGCTTTAAATATACATATCATACTTTATCCCACTTTCGTTTCGATACAGAGCGCGCGCGCTCATTGTTCCGCGCGGCAACGGAGCGTCGCGCGGAGCGCGGCGAAACCGCGGAATGCACTTAATCAAATTTCGATCGACGAGCGCGAAAGCATATTTATTGCGCGCCCTATCGCGTCGTTTTATCATTGATGATTGATTACCGACGTAACAAGAATTTATCGTAGTATCGGGTTTAGACCGGCGTGTACGTAGCAACAGGTACTACTCGCGTCCGGTGCGCGTTAAACACCGTTGGCGAGCATCGAGCGAGTCATTGATCGCTGCTGGGTCTGATCGCGATCGCTTTCTCTCTCTCTCTCTCTCTCTCTCTCTCTCTCTCTCTCTCTCTCTCTCTCGCTTTCTCTCGCTCTCCTCTGCCTCGCCTTCTCTTTTGTCACCGGCGATCCGCGCTCGCGCTCGCGATCCCGGCAATTCGCAGCGTTCGTCGAGCGAGCGCGGGCACTTGCGAAAGTTCGTCGGATAACGCCGATGATTTCATTGATACGAGAGATGAGTCACTTTATGGAATCAGACAATTATCTGACAGGTGGCGGCGGAAAGCGCCCGGGTAACACTAGGCTCGCGGATATTTGATGATTGAGCGCGCAATGGAACAAACGGAAATATTGGTATTTGTGTCTACAACTGTAGAGCGACATGATCATAGCCGAGAAAATCTCTATGACAGTGATAATAAATAATCTTGTATGCGCGTCGCCGCTGCTACTTGTCGCGGATCAACCAAAAGTCATGACTCGCGCCCGGAAATGCGCGCTAATCTCAGTGACGTCTCATATTTATCTTCTCAGATGAGACAGCGAGCGGACGCTGTTTCATCGCCGTTAGGTAAAATATTCATATTAGTATTATAGAGTATTTAACAATATCGAGAGATATCTTGGAAATGTTTATTCGACGAACCCTCGCAAGCCCCGAGATGAAATCGATATCTCTCGATTTTATCGTTGCTTCTCTCTCTCTCTCTCTCTCTCTCTCTCTCTCGATCTATCTCGAGCCGTTGTCGTGTTCATCCACCGCGCGCGACTACGCGAGCCCAGATATCTTAAACGGTACACATAAACCGGCCATTCTTCGCGTCCGGTGGTCTCGTCTCGAGTTTTCCGCGCGACGGCCACGACGACGTCACGATGCGGCCTCACCTCCGGCCGCGTTCGTCGTCGGTGAAACGCGAGTCCCCTCGGCATTCGTTATCGTTATCGTCGGCCACCGCTCTCGCGGTGCGAGAGAGGCGGAGGATACTCGGTACTCGGTCGTTATACGACGTTATACAGCCCGGCCGTGCGAGGCATTATAGCCTTTTACGACTCTTTCGCGTAATTGTCGAGCTCGTGAACTTTTACGAGCGCGCGCGCGCGCGCGCGCGCGAGAACCACGAGCGGCGGATGATCGCCGCGCGCGCGCGCGCGCGCGCGAAGCGATACTCCGTCGCGAGAAGTCCCATTCCGGCATTCCTTTTATCGGAACGTAAAAATAATATCGCCTACGTGGGGAACACGGGGAACGCGGAGACGATGGCGACGGCGACGAGGCCCCCCGTCTTCCGGCAGCCGCGCGCGTTTGATTGAATCGTTTCGCAAGGGCGAATACGCGTACGAGCGTAAACAGCGAGCGCGCCGCCGCTTCCACCCGTCGCGCGCTCGCGCGCGCGCGCGCGCGTTCTCTATGTATACGGCCGAGGTATGTTTTTCTTGATTAAATCAAAGCCAACTCGGCCGTGAAGCGGGGCTACATCGAGGGCGAAATTTGCAAGTCGTATGCGGCCGGAGAGATGTCGCCATCGCTAAGAGAGCGCGCTCGCAACAAGAGCGATTTCCATTGAGGGACGATAGAGAGCCGCGATAAGGGCCTGCCCCTGTCGCGCGAGGCGGGGGAGACCACGTTGGCGGGGTAGACGATACCGATCGTGATCGGTATCGTCGGGGGCTGCACGGGGAATTGAAAGATCGCAGCCAACTCGCCGCCGCCGCCGCCGCTGCCCCGAGTCGTTTTCGCAATCATATCGCTCGTGACTCTGCCGGTGATATCGGCGGAGTAAAACTTGGATAATCGACCTAATAACGGCGCGATGAGTCGCTTATTTCCTCGAACTCGGCGGAGGGAAACTCGGCGTGGAAAGGCACAGACGCAGCTGGCGATTATTCGTCTTCTCGGTTTTTCGCGAACGGCGAAAAAACACCGGGAGAGAAAAAATGAGAGAGAGAGCGAGAGAGCGAGAGAGAGAGAGAGAGGCGCTTCCTGCACTTTCGGTACGATGAAACACGCAGAGCAGCGGTTACCGTGCCACGTAGTTAGTGAATATTTCCGGTCGCCTCGCCGGCGGTTATTTTTTCTTTTTTTTTTTTACGCGATTTTTTTACTCCATTATCGTAACTGACTACCGCTGCTCACGGCAGTTCCGTATCAGACGTCTCGGCCGCGCGAGTAGCGTTTCCAGTCTCGCGATAATTAAGATCCCAACCTTTTTCCTTGGCCGGCGCGGTCCTCTGTCTCAGCCTCGAGGGAAGTCTATTAATTAAAGGCCAATTACTTGGTTGGGAAGGTCTGCGGCGGCGAGACGATCTCCGTATAGCTGCGATTCTTAATCGTTTTGCTCTTCTTCCTCTTCTCTCTCTCTCTCTCTCTCTCTCTCTCTCTCACTCGGCGAATCGGCCGAAATCCCGTGCAAGGAGAGAATCCTTCGACGAGCTTTATCGCGGCGACACCGGATCGAGTACTTCGTAATCGGTTCTCTCTCGGCGATGTCGGTGGTAGTCGAGCGACGGCGACGGCTGCGTTGGCGAATTTTTAATCGCGCTCCTCTTCCCGCGCCCTCCCGCCGCCCTCGACATTATTCGACGATGTCGGCGTATGGAAAAGCGGTAATTGCGTTCTGTTATAAAGCGAACGTGCGTTTTACGCGCTTTCAGCGGAATTATTATTTTCGCAAGAACAGAGCCGATTTGAAATATACATTTCGCGATTTATTGATAATGCTCGCGAGCGCGAATGTAATAAAAATATACGGGCGGATTAATTTATATTTAAAAGCGACGTGCGCGGCCGAATTTTACATTCGCATGTTCCTACATATATCGCGGTGCTCTCGCAAATTTACAAAATAATCGTAATTTCGAAGATAAACCGCGCTAAATGAATATCGAATTATTAAAACAAACGGGTTTAATTAATCGCGGCCTGTCCGAAGCAGGTCCGTAAAATATTCATTCAGACGAATTTGCTGGCGTTTAAAGTATTAACGGTAATTCTATCGCATCGCGAAATAAATATTTCACTCGTCCGGTACCGTTCGAATTTGTCGGTGCGCGGGAACGTCGCTCTCTCTCTCTCTCTCTCTCTCTCTCTCTCTCTCTCTCTCTCTCTCTCTCTCTCTCTCTCTCTCTCTCTCTCTCTCTCTGTCTCCCCCCTCCGCCTTTCCCGCTTCTCTCTCTCTCTCCCTCTCTCTCTCTCTCTCTCTCGGAGGAGGAGGATGAGGAGGAAAAGATTCGCCTCTTCGTCTCCCGAGATGCCTTTATTACCTTTTATATTCACTCCCCTTCCCCCTACTCTCGCAATCTCATGTACGCGCGAAAAACTCTGAAGCGACTGTCGTAGCCGCACCGATATATTAAAGCGTGGTTTAATACGCTCTTTACAATCGCCAGGCAATAAAGTTCTTCTTCGTCTCACGACGCTCGTTGATTCCGCCGGAGTATAATGCGCCGACTGTACTCAAGACGCTCGTTAAAATCGCAAACTACCGACGAATTTTCCTCTCACCGCGGCCAACGCGGAGAGAAAGAAAGAGCGAGAGAAAGAGAGAGAGAGAGAGAGAGAGAGAAACAGAGACTACAGATCTTCATGTCCCGTTGTCGCGATCTCGCGATCGCGATTACCCGCGCTCTTTCCCGTCGTTCCGTTGATAACGCGGCCGCCGGGGAGGGTCTTGGAATGCTCTCGTCGGAGAGCACGGAGCGTGTTTTCGCGTACGCGCGCGCGCGCGCGCGTATATGTGTGTATGTGGGTGGCTGGCTGTTTGGCTGGTCGTAAACGCCGCTTTTAACGGGGAAGCTCTCGCGAGCCTGCACGACGTGGAAAATCGCGCGCACGTAGAACGCGTGTGAACGGAGAACCGCTGTTCGGTGAGCGAATTAGTTAAAGCCAGCCCCGGCTGGAGTCTTGTACACACGATGTAGAAACGATGTTACGAGAAACCGGTCTTTGGTCGACACGCACACGCACGCGTTCGCGCTTGCACATGCGTTCTCACACATATATACACGCGCGCGCGAGCACACGCCTGCACGTGAGTCGTGTTCGCTCGCTCTCGCCGAGGGAGCGGCCGCGCGCACGCTCCTTCCCCGGTCTTCCTCGTTTTTCTCATTTTCTCGACGCGCTTATCCCTCTTACCGGCCGCGGTCTCGCATTACGGCTCAATTTGGTCCGCTTTTCGTAATCTCGTAATCTCATTTGATCGATATAATCTCGACCCTGCAATCGCGAAGGGGCTCTTAGGTATCCTGCCTCCGCGAGATGGAGGAAGAGGAGGAGGAGGAGGCGGCGGCGGCCGCCGCCGCCGCCGTTCCCGCGCTCGGTCATTACGGATTCGAGGCGGCGTCTTGGTTTACGAAACTCGATAATTCGATTAATCACACGGCCGAGTGGTCTCGCCGTTTATTCCGTCGTGTAATATTTTCTATTCGTCTTTCTCACTCTCTCTCTCTCTCTCTCTCTCTCTCTCTCTCTCTCTCTCTCGCTCGCTCGCTCGCTCGCTTCTTTTTTCTCTCTTCCTCTATTCCTCCCGATTATTATGTGCGCCCGACCGACGACGCGCTTCGTGAGACGCCGATGAACAGCCTCTCATCGTCGATAAGAGCGGCACTTTGTATCTCCCTCTATTCTCAGCGCTCGCTTCTTTCTTTCTCTCTCCGCGCGCAGCGATTTGCTCGCGTTGCTCGCGGCACGGATTCGCCCGAATCCATCGTGGCTCTCCGATCGAATCCGGTAAATTCTCGCTCGCTTGGTGCCGGCTTCATTCGGAAGCGCGAGGCGACCGAGTCGTAATGTAAATGCGCGCGGAGCAACATTCCGCCGAAGTTCGGCTTCTGCATGAGCGAACACGCACGTATCGCCTTACGCTTAACGTCGACGCAGCTTCGTTAACGAGAAACGCATACATCAACGCTGCCACGTAACGCTGCGCTTACACTAATTTCGTGTGATACACTTAGCTGTATGTACGATTACATGTATATGTGTGTGTGTGTGTGTGTGTGTGTATGTACATACACACAGCCCGCATGTTGCGACACCATCTCGTCTAATATCTCTGTTTCGTTTTACTTTTGCAGTATTACGAGATGTCGTACGGGCTCAACGTGGAGATGCACAAACAGGTAAGTCTCTCTCTCTCGCATTGCCATTGACGCGTTAAGATCTCATCTCGTCGCCGCTCGACGATCGATAATACGTGCCGCGGTGCGCGACTTATATTAATCGCCGCGGCGGGCGCGGCGTGTGGACGCGCGCTCTTTAATCCGAAATTAAAGGGCCGTGCGCGCGCAGAGAAAGCTCCGATTACGGGCTGTTTGCGACCCTCTGGGATCTTAGCTATTGAATAAATATGTAAACAAGGTAATAATATGTAAATAGAGCGCGGTCGGGGCTCTCTGGCGCTTCCTCCGCTCTGCTCCTTGCGCGAAAGCTCGCACGACGAAAAAGGCGAGCCAATTCCCAGGACTTTTATTAGGAATTACCGAGATTGCAGCGCGCGGTGGTGGTTGGCTTCCGAGGAGCACTTGGGGCGAATGGCGGAGCTGTGTTCCTCCTCCCCCGCCCTCTCTCACTCTCTCTCCGCCCTCCCGCTCGCCGTTCTCTTTGTCTTTTTCACTGCTTTCCATGCGATTTATCAAATCGAATAATGCATCGCGCCGAAATGTTCGTCGCACCCCCTCCCCCCTCGGCTCACCCTCTATTCATGCAAACTGACGGCATCGTCGGCGGCAGGCCCGGCGTATTATTTTTGGATAAAGATTCATTTCGAATCTGCATTACAAAGATCTCGTCGTCAAGTCCCCGAGCTGCATATCCTATCCATATTCATCGCGGCGATTGAGCGATTGGAATTTTTTGTTTCCTCTCGCATGCATCCACCCGATTGCGGCGACGACGTCGCCGCCGCCGCCGCCGCCGCCCGCGCCGCCATGGCAGTTATGGCCGAGCAGCGATTTCATATCTTTCGTCACGACAGAGCGATGACCGTCGTCTCTCGCGAGAAACCAGAGAGAAAGAGAAATGGTGGCTGGCGTGTCCGGCCGTACATAACTTTCGACCCGGCGCGGCGACACGGTGAAACATGAAAACGCGTTAATCGATTCGACGACGACGACGACAACGACCACGACGAGATCCCGGGCTCTTAATTACCTACCTACGAGACTCATCGAGTCGCCGCGAGAGAGCCGGCGAGATCTCCGCCTAATCTCGCCGTGAAAATAAATCCCGAGCCGCGCGTCTCATCTTCATCCGCCGTCCGTTATCTCCGGGATAACCGCTCGCCCGTGGAGGCGGCCGTCTCCGTGTCAGGCCGTATCTCATCTTCGTAGATACGTATGAGCGGATTCGCGTCGAATTATCGACAGCCCGGTGTTATACATCGACGTAACGTTCATAGCTCGGACGTCCTCGAGGGGGGACGGGGGGGAAAGAGAAAGAGGCATTCTCCGTAGACGCGTCGTCGAGCGGGAATCTCGATCGCGAGATTCCAGTGAATGAATAGCGATCCTTCTTTCCCCACGCGTCTACTTCGATATTCCCGCTTCTCCTCTCCTTCCTCCTCCTCCTCCTCCTCCTCCTCCTCGTCGTCATCATCCATGTCCCGCCATAATCTACCTCGGGCGTGCAGCGACGAGTAATGCTCACGTTTATTGAATATTTAGCAGCTGAGAGAGCCCGTTATTTCCTCCACCCCGTCGCTTTGTATCCCGCCTATTCTTGCCTCCGCCTCCACCTTTTTCCACCGCCTCCTCTTCTTTTTCCGGCAGGATGCGCGGCCCTCAAATCATGAATAAAACTCCGAGCGAGTCGACCTTACGGTTCGCACAAGGCGGCGCGGCGGCTAGACAAGCAAGACAGCGAGAGTTCAATTTATTTTTTTTCCTCTTCGTGCGTTAGCGTGTTGGCGCACTCGCGTGCATTTTAAACGCGACCAGAGCAATCCGGGGCGATCGATGATTACATGCGAGTGATTAAACAGTTCGCCCGGGTGACCGGCACACGCGGGCGGATATTATTTGCAAGTTGCGCGATCACGTCCGATCATCAGCGAGATTCATTAGAGAAACATCATACGACCGACGAAATATATGTGTGCGCGCGCGTGTGTGTGTGTATGTGTACGCGCGCGCGTGGACGCGTGCGAATTCCTGCGGCGTGCGAAGAAACGAGAATACAGGTGGCGCGGATATAACGCTCCGGGGGAGCGGGGGAGCGACGAGAGACGACGGCGATTTTTCCACACGGTCGGATTTCCTCTCGTTGCGGCGAGAGTTACGTATTAAGGTTGAACGAGGAGCGTAACTCTTTCAGGACTCCCTTCACGTCCGCGTATACGCCGCTACGTGGCGCGCAGACCGGCGCGCGGATAGCAGATACACATCGTGCGAAACGTGCACGGTATTCGCGCGCGATGGAATATAAATTCCGAGACGGGAAATCGCAATACGATCGTGTCGTATCCGCCGTTTTATGCCGCCGCGCGCTATCTTGACCGGATGAGTGCTTACGGAGCTGCTTCTCTCTCTCTCTCTCTCTCTCTCTCTCTCTCTCTCTCGCCGAGGGTTGTCGAACGCGCGACTAACGCGCGGGGCCGCCTCTCCGTCTCGCGCACTTCCGCGAATTAGGCCGCTCGTCGCAACGCTGTCGCCTGTTACTTTTAATTCGATTAGGATTTATCGCGCTCCACCGACAGCCGGCCGACGCCCGGGGGATTTATTATTATCGCGCGGTATTATCGCGCTCGCTCTCGCGCGCGATTTACACGCTCTCGTACTCGCCGCGGCGTATCCGGTCTCATATTTATAAAATCGAAATGCGATGCCGTGCCGTGTGCCGTGGCGGGGCCGGTCGACCGACCGACTGGCCGGCCAGCCTCGTCGACACGCTCTCGCTCCTGCCACGCGGCCCCGCGATTAATAGCCCGCGTTTATGACGAGACCGGGGCGTTGTCGTCCGAGCGTCCGCGCTCGATGCGACGCGATGAAAATAAAAAAACAAAAAGCCAGTGAGAGAGGGAGGGGGGAGGGGGGGGAGAGGAGGATGACAAAAAAAGCGTGCGGCTGGACGGGAATGAATAACGGGCGCCCGCGCCGCGCCGCGCCGACGAGACGCAAAAGAGCACAGCGGAATATCGCGCGGCAGCCGCGATTTATCGGGTGTTACATTAACGCCGACCAGTCCCGCGGTAAGTGTCCACGCATGCCGCTGTGCGAAAGCGCCCGCCTCCTCCCGCTTCGCCCCCCTGCTTGCCACCCCGCCTGTCTCCTTTCTCTCTCTCTCTCTCTCTCTCCCCGTCTTTCTCTCTCTCCGTCTCTCTCTCTCTCTCTCTCTCTCTCTCCCTCTCGGCTGGAGGTTATTAACGTCGCTAATTCCTCGGCAATTACTGTCATCATCGTCAGCCGTCTGACCGCAGCCGAGCTGTTACGTTTTCCTGTTACACCTGTACGATAATCATTGTCAGCCGGAATCACGCTCGCCGGGATAGTTTATGGAGATATCGCGCTCGCGCTCATACGGCAATAAACGTCCCGACCCTCCTGCTCCTCCTCGCCCCCCGCCCGTCCTCGTTGTCGGCAGTGAGTAGTTTTTACTCTCTCTCTCTCTCTCGCTCTCTCTCTCTCTCTCTCTCTCGGCGGCGTGTACATACAGACGGGGAGGAGGGATGTCAGTTAATAGAATATCGATAGCGCTATTTACCCGTTCATGTATCGATCGGAAATTATGGGTATCGCTGCTAATGTCGATTGTTTGAAATATATCGCGCGGCGAGAGGCAGCGAGAGGGGGGGGGGACAGGCGAGGCACGCGATAGCCGGACACGGCAATGGTGGATACGCTCGTCGTTCGTTATTAACGGACGCGTCATTCTTCTTATCGTCCGCCCGCCCGCCCGCCCGCTCGTTCACGCGCCCGGTGGCCGGTGGAATCGAAAACGTTGTGTGTCACGATAGGTGGTATCGTTTGATTTTGACCCGTTTCGTCGTGCGTCATCGGCCGATGACCACGCGGTCGCGCTTTGTTGCGTCGAACGGCGATCGCGCGCGGGCGCGCGCGATCCCACGTTTTTATTTGCAGGAAGCGATGCGTATTGTAAACGCTTTCAGGCATTACTCTCGATTTTACTAACGCTATTACCGGCGATTCCGCAGCTGCAGTACGTGTCGGGCAGTCGGAAAATTCACGCATGAAAAGTACGGGCGGCCACCACGAGTGATTCGATTTCGTTGTTTTGTTCGATTCGCTGGGTTCGCTCCCCTCGTCGCCGCCGCCGCCGCCGCCACCGCCGCCGCCGCACCCTCGCGCGCGCAGAACCCTCCTCGTTGCCGCCGCCGCCGCTCCCTTTGCCGCCACCCGCGCGCTTATGCCCCCCTCTGCGCTTGTCTCTCTATATCCATCCCATATACGGTCCGCTCATTATTCATTTATCGGTTTAACGAGCACGTCCGCGATAAAGCGTCGCGAAATATCGATATCGGATGGTCAATAGCCAGCCGCTCTCTCGCCGCTCGCGGCCTTGTTCGCTCTACCTTTCGCGCGCGCACGCGACGAAAAATTCAAACCTACGTAAAATCCTGCCTGCGATCGGGATGCTGCCTGCGACGCCGGATCTGAAATTGGGAGATCGCCGTCGTGAGGACGAAGCGTTGCCGCGGCGGCGGCGGCGGCGGCGGCGGCGATCTCTCTCGTCCGAGGGGTGAGAACGATACCTCGCGAAGCCTCTGCGAAACGGACGAAACGGATTAACGGATCCGCTACGAAAAATCGTCTCCGCGTGCGTTTCGATATTTTTATCGGCGAGTGGCGAGCGAGTGCGAGTGCTCGCACGCGCGTCTGGGGAAACGAAATAAAAAGCCGGGAAAAAACGCGACGCCCCGAGGAATCTCGTCGGGCGCTTCATGAATAACTTCTCAAAAGCGTCCAGCACCGCCATCCTCTCTCGCTCGCCGGCGAGAGCGAGAGAGAGAGAGAGAGAGAGAGAGAGAGAGAGAGAGAGAGGACCGGGCAGAGTGGCTGTGTGACAGAGAGAGAGAGAGAGAGGGGGGGGAGGGAGAGAGCCAGTGAGTGACTGCGCGAAATATGTGCGCGGCCGGCGCTTTTTTCCCGTTTTTATTGTGTCTGCAGTGCCACTGGTTTGATCGGTCAGACCGCGCCAGGTGGAGGCGGAG